TAGATATATATATATACACGTATATACTTGAAATATCTCTGTTGTAGCTGTGGCTGCAAAACGAAAGCAAAATTGGGACTTGACTTGCACTTGGACTTGACTAGTGAGCAGTGTATTAATGTGTGTGTGTGTGTTACAGTGCATGTCTGTATGTATGTATATGCCCCACGTCAAGCAGCTTTAAGCGGTGTAAGCAAAATAAATGAGTTTGTCAGCCGGCAGCGACATGATTTGATAATTGGTTTTAAAGGCAATTCGAAAGCGAGTCGAAAGTGGTCGAAAAAAAAAACTACAATAAATACATAAAAATTATAACAGGAAACGGATCAGAAGTGTATTGATATGGCAATATCTAAAAATAAATCATAGCAATAGAGAAATTGTTAATAAAAAGGTGTAAATGTTAAACAAGTGTGTGAATATAATGATATGAACTGATATACTGGGCGTATAAGTATATGGATTAGTGGATTAGGTATGGAAGCTATGAAGCCTAAGGTATACGATTTAAGATGTAAGATATGTATATGATATATGGTTCAAGGATAAAGAAATGAATGAAAAGAAATGAAGAGGCATGAAGAGATATAATACAATACATATGTATGTATGTATATATAAATATATAAGCGAAATTCGAATAAATATAGTTACATATAAAATACTTAATATATGTTGATATAAAAGAAAACCTATAAATATTACAATAAATAGATAATGTAACAGATTAGGCTCAAGATATCCCCACACATATATGCATAATAATATAAATTAAAATACTTTGTTCTACGGCGTTTTGGCCAACGCAAGTTCTGGCCATTGACTCGGGCCATTGGCGGCGATAATCAGCTCAAATTTTGGTGGCAACAGCTTCCAAGTGGCTGCCAAATGACTCATTGTGCGATTTTCAGATATGAATGTGGGCGGGGCAAGGCGTGGCGGGTTTATTGTGACGGTTATGTAAGGTCATTAAGACCCCACCCAGGCGACCCCAGGAGTGAGCCAAGTAAAGGCAGACAGCAAGAAGAGAGAAGAGAAGACGAAAGCAGATCGAAGATTGAATGCACTGAAGATATAATAATATAAATAATATATATGTGGTATACATTTAATTGATAAATAAACATAAATAAATACATTAAATTCTAACTTAAATTGAATTTTTTTTATTTATTTATTTTAAAGAATTATTATTTAATATATATACATATGTTTTATTTATACATAAATAGAATATTTTTATAAAACGTTAAAAAATATTAAGATAAAATGTATTAAATTAAATTAAATTAATATTAAATTATTCCTATTATTATTATTATTATTATTATTATTATTATTATTATTATTAAATTAAAATATATTAAATATATTAAAATATATTGAAATTTGTTAATGCATTTTAGATACTTTGGTTTATTTCATTTTATATTAAGAAATTAATAAATATAAATAATACATACATATATTATTTCGCATGATATCTGATTTATTTCATATTTCATGATTTCTTTTTTTATTTTATATATAAAGCCATTTCAGTGAGATAAAGATAAATAAATATCTGAAATTCTCATTTTCTCATGCCACATGGCAAAAGTGTTCTATCCCGTCTTCGATTCATAGGGTATTCAAGGAACAAAAGAACTTGAAGCCCAACATAATTCTGACACTCGAAAAGTTTTTTGTATTCTGTTTTGCTTTTGTTTTTGTTGATGTTTATGAATGCATTCGCTGGGTACCGTTAAGAGCGGCCATAAAAACAACTTAGTCAGCAAAGTGAGCGTTAGTCAAACTATTTTAATTAAATGCCACCAGATACCAAGAGGCAAGAGCCGGCGAGGGGGCAAGAGTGGCACAAGTGGCATGCGGCATGCGGCATGTGGCCTGGGGCAAGTGGCATGTAGGGCAGTGCCTACTGGGCGAAGAAGAAGAGGCGCTTCACTGTGGGCTATAATGAACTCGTTAACGTCAGCCAGCTTACCCACCCATTCGGCATCCTCCCCTCCTCCACTTCTCTGCACTTGCAACTGCAGCTGAGCGGCATGCAGCACATAAATTAATGCTGTCTTCCATCTGCAGCACCAGCGACTGCATTTCGACGCATGCCAAAAAAAAAATTTACAAGCTACAGCATTTTCCACATGCTTTTCAAGCGCGCATCGTTGTTGTTGTTGTTTTTTTCGCGAATTCGATTTGAGCAGCGAGCGAACAAAAATGGGGAAAAAAAAAACTGAAGTGAACTGAGATTTCAGTCTGGCGCCGCTAGAGCGGATTATAGCGGGGGCGGACATGTGCTACATGTGTGGCAGGAGGGGCACATTGGTCAACTATGTGTCAAGTCGTCGAGAGGGGGGCAAAAAACTGCAAAATTGTGAAATGTGACAGCAAGGAAAAGGCGAAGCAGCTGCAGGAACAGGAAGTTGCAGTCAAGCAAAGGATTTGATGTGGCTTAAAGTGAGACATATCTATAGACATATATATATATATATAAATGTGTATATATTACTTTCATTTATTATGAAATATATAGCTGACTAGCAGAGCTTAATTTGTTATATGAATTATAGCTGAGCTATATATTTATACAGACTATATTACTATTAATATATCTCAATTATGTTTAGCAACATTTACTTTCAACTATATACACATACATACATACATGTATGTTATGTATCTATAAAACATAAATAATTCAAGTCAAGCTCCATAATTAATTAAGTTCTCGTTAGATGCCTCCGCACTTGGCAATTTCTTGCCGCTGCTTGAGCAACTGACATATCCTTGGTTTCCGCTTAGTCACATCCGCCCCCCACACCCACCCACTTCTCCTAAGCGGATTTTCCTCGCGCTGCCTGACAGCTTTTCACTGTAGCTGTGAAATTAATTAAGTTGAGTTTTTTTTTTTTTTTTGCACTTGTTTGGGCAATTGTTGCTCAGGCTGCGGCAAAAGCCAATAAATCCTTGTTGCCTGTCACAGGATGCGAGCGCATTGAGTAGGCAGAGCCAGCAGAGCCCAGGTAACACAGCTAGCAGACAAATTATATGTATTTAAATTAGCCCGCTGCCTAATTTAATTACGAGCCCGAAATTCCAACAGAGCCCGCAATTTTAATTGACTTCTGTCTGTCGGCTGGAATAAATTGTCTATAAAATGTCTGTCGAGCTGTGCAGGCACCTGTGTCCAGGTGTCCAATTGTCCACCTGTTTGCACATCATTAAAACACAATTCACACAGCGGGAAGGAGAGGGGGGAGAGCAGGTGGGCGTGAAAGGGAAAGGCAGGCCGAGTAATTTGTGAATGCAGTTGGGAATTTTATTTTGAATTTTTCATTGTTTATTTTTGGCAACTTTTTGTCCATGCGAGACTTTTAGATAATTTTGGAATTGACTTCAGTAAATATTGACAGCTGACTGGCAGACAGACAGACAGACAGACAATCAAAATGACTGACTGAATGCAAAATTTGCTCGTTTTTCCAATGAATTTGCACATTTTTCTATTTAATATTTAAAGTTGAGGCAATAGAAGAAGGAAAAAATTGTAAAAAAAAACTTTGTTAAATCTGAATCAAAACAAACAGCGTCTGACCAAAAGACAGAAAAAATCTTGTCTAAATATTTACGCAAGTAAATCAACTCGAGAACTGAAACTGGAGAACAGCAAGCGCTAAAGAGAGAGGGAGAGAGAAATAGAGCAAGTCACACACACATACATACATACACATGCATTTCAGCCGTTCAGTTAAGCAAACTTTGGCCAAAGCTCGATGACTTGCCATAAATTCTAAGCCAAATCGTTAGGAATTTCTGGCATATCATAGCTCAATAAGCTAAATAGTTAATATTGGTATAAATAATAGTAATAGGAGTGCGAAAAGAGAGAGCAGAGCTGACAACCAGTTCGACTAGATGATGCTCTGCAATAAAAACCCTTGAATATATATAATGAGAGATGTAGAGAGAATCAAAGTGATATACATATATCTAAAAAATATATATTAATTAAGTAATTAATATAATAACACATTACATAGAAGAGCATTCACAGAACTATAAAATATCCCATAGTCAGCTCCGAGCTTCTAAACATGTTATTAGGCTCTTAAGAGCTAAGAACCTTACTTAAACAGTCAAACACTCAATTACCCCGTTACTCCGCAGCTGAAAGGGTATATGAGTAATAATAATAATACATATCAAGTGCGCACAGCTGTCATCTGAGACCTGCAATTGACGCTTTAACCAACTTGGACTGTCGACTCCAGTTGAGTCTCTTGTGTTTACTTCATCTTAATTAAGCTAAAAACCATGCCCGAATTATCAACAAATGTTTGTGTGTGTGTGTGTGTGTGTGTGTGTGTGCGTAAAAGTAACTGGAAGATAAACACAATAGCACACTAATGACCATATACATGTTCTACACGCAAACACACGTGTGTACATGAGTGTGTGTGTGTGTGGCTCATCAATCATCAAGAGAGTCCCTGGACTGTGTGTGTGAAACTTTTAGCGAAAACGTTTAAACGTGACTTCCGACTTTGGAGAATTTGTGAGTTGAACGTGTCGCCGCCTTCCCCTCCAAAGAGATACATATTTATTACAGCGATATGTTAAGGTAAGCCACAAGTTGTATAAGTGTGTCTGTGTGCTACACTTGCTGCCTGTTACTAAAGTGTGAGTTAACCAATGCCATTAAGACCACAAAAGCGCAGCATAAATCATATTTTACATGCATTTTCGATTAACTTAAGGCTTTACAGTGCCTTGGCATACTAGTTGAATTCTTAGTGTGCGTAATTGACCTATGCATGTGTATATATTACTCAAAATTACTTGAATAATTTATAATTCCCGTACCCATGCATTTATTATTTTTCGAATACTCGCGCGCTTTGTTACAGTTCAGTGTTGTCTGATTCGGAAATTACTCAGCACTGACATGTTAGGCACAGCAACAGCGCTGCTATCGATAACTTCACACAGTCTATCGGCGACATATACAAATAGCTCAACTAGCAAGCGAGCGACGAATATCAGGAATTTCTTTTATTTCAATTATATTTAAGAGTGCAATTTAAATGTGAGGATGTCACGTGATGAGCTGAAGAAGCAACTGCGCGGCACGCGGCAGGAGGTGAAAGCAGCTGCTAAGGCAATTTATGGACAATTTGAGCAAATAAGAAATGGCGGGACTTCGAGCGTCGCTTTGCAAACGCTTAAATACGAATTAAACATATTGAGACAATTGTGCTGCGCTCTGCAAGAGAATTATCATCAGCATGCGGACATCTATTGTGAAATAGCGGCCATCATGCTGCCACATGTGGCGCCACAAGAGACGCAGCCTGACTACTGGACCAATCACTTGATCAGCCTGCAGTATATACACCATTCGCTCTGCAGAGAGGTAAGCATTTCTGGGCAGGATTAGCTAGATTATTTATCAATATATTACTCTATTCACTTTAGCAAACGCTGCAGCAATGTCAAAGATTCTATGCACTTATTAATGCTCAGGGCTGTCAAATGCAAAGCAAATCGGAATATAAATACTATATGGGCATTCATGTGAAACATCTGTATTACTTTGGCCACCAGATGGGCAAGCAAACGGATCCAAAGCTTAAAAGGCAACTGTGCGAGGCTCTTCAGGCACTGGGCATGCTGATGCAGCAGCTGCTACAGCTACAGCAGAAGGAACAACAAGCGGATGACTTCAGCGAAGTAATCTTGGAACTGAATCAGCTGCTGGGCAAGCGTAGCTTTGGCTATATCAAGATCCTGGCTAGTCTTCCAGTGGCTGACTTTAACGCCATGTGTGAGCCCCTCTGCCAGGTCATAGCTAGCAATGCTTGCAGCCCAAAGCAGCTGAATGCGCAGTTTCCAGAGTATTTAAGTGCGCTGCTCCCACTTCTCTATTTGGACGACAGCGCCTGGCAACAGGATGAGCAGCGACAGGCACAACCTTGGTCACTCCAACTGCTGCGTGGCTGCCGTGAGCTGTACAAAGCTCAAGCCAATCAGAATTATGTGTTCTCCCTGCTCTACTACTACCTCAAGCTTCTGAACACACGCAAATCCTCGCTAGCTGCGGACTTGAAGCAGCCGTACATCGATCTGGTGAAGAAAATCATCAACTTCTTCGAGCAGAAGGCATTGCCGCATGTGGAGGAGCAATGGTATATCGACTTTCTTCTGGTATTCGTTCGCCTGCAGAGACAGCTGCATCAAATCGATCAGAAGCAGCCCTCGTTCGACTACTTCTGGCAGTGTTTGGACAGCGCGGAGGCGTATGCCGCGCACTTTGACCTGCTGCAGTGCCTCATCAACAGAATCATGAAGCTGGGCAACGGCAATAGCAGCTCCTTGGCGCTCAGCTGCACCAACAATGATGCCAGTTGCCAGGGCCAGCGGAAGCATTGCGTCTTCAGTCTGGGTTGCTGTGCCGCCTACGCCTACAGCAATTGGCAGTCCCAGGCAACCCTGTCCAAGGTGAGCCTCATCTATAAGCTATGCCAGCTGCTCTTAATAATCCTTATGATCCTCTTCTTCAGGTGTCTCAGCAGTGTTTGGCTGGCATCATTCATTATGCCATCAATGTAGTCATAGTGACCAAATGCTTCACGCCCAACAGCACCGAGTTGGTCTTCTTTGCCTGGCATCTGGTTAACATAGCGGAGAAGATTGACTCCTCCGAGCAGATGCTTTTGCTAGAGATGCTGTTGAAGCCGCTGCAACAGCTGCGCCCGCTTCTGACTCCGCCGTACGACAGGCAGTTGATTCGTCGCATTTACAAAGCCAGCGCCCACTGCTCCCATCCGGAGCTTGCAGCGCGTCTGCATTGCGCCTATGTCACCAGCTTAGGCTGTCCCTCGCGGCAATACCAACAGCTGTGCATCTACTATCGCACGCCCAAGAACGATATAGACCAATGCCTGCTGGAGCTGCATGCGAAGGGCACGCTCTGCAATCCCATAGAGCCAGCTGAGCGCCGGCGACTACTCGAGATGGACATGTTGGCGGTGCTGGCTTATAAGAAGACGCCGCAGCTGCTTCGGTCGCTGCTGCAGCACTGCCTAACGGACTACCAAAAGGTGCTTGTGTCACGGCATTTGCGCACGGACAAGACTATTGGCCAGCAAATCGAGGAGCTCCGCATTAATTTAAAACGTAAAAAGCAGCTGACGCGGCTGCAGCAGCTAATCCTTGGCCATGCGACGGTAACCAAACTCTTGGACGCGCTCGAGGCTCAGAAGACCAAAATACCCCTCAAGGAGACAACGGAGAAGACAATCGAGGAGCTGCTCATCAAATACAATCTATTGGAGCTTACCATAAGCAGCGAAATGCCGCTCGTGGAATTGGCGACAATGGCAATGGACGCTTTTGGCAAATTCTTTGAGCAGGTGAGAGAACAAATGAATTGGAGATGGGCTGCAGCTGGAGTGAACAGTCCGTCCTCTAGGCTTTATATACCCAAAGGCTAATGCTTCTTCCTTTCAGGCCGATGCCGAGTTCCTGGGCAGTGACGAGGCGCTCATCGACTGGGAGGCGCTGTTGGATGACGGCATTGTGGCCGCCATGGCGCTGTCTACGATGGGCTATACGCAGCAGTCGGACGGGGCGTGGCTGCTGCTAATGCGCATTAGCCGTCTGCTGGGCGATAGCTTCAACTATTTGCGTGCGCTTAGCCACTTCTTGCCGCGCTACACACAGCACGCGCTGCTCCAGCTGGACACGGAGGTTGCCTATGCGGAGCAGCTGCTCGATGAGCTGTGGCCGCAGCTGCAGGCGCCACATCTGCTGAAGCGCCATCATACGACTGTGTTGCTCTGCCTCTGCCACTTGGCGTTGTACTATGCGCGCCTCGATTGCATTTGTCATGCCCAGCTGCTGCTGCTGCACGCGGAGCGGCTGCGCCAGGAATTCGAGCAGCGGGCGGGCAAGTGCGACATAGTCCAGCTGACCATTCACACGGTTCGCTTTCGCATGTGCTATCAGCAGCGCCAGTGCCGCCTGCTGGATCGCTTGCCCACGGCGCTGCAGCAGCTGGACACCTTAACGGAGTGCGTGCGCAGCTTCACCACCATCTCGTCCATGGATAATGGTGCACTGATCCTGCTGCTCGGTGACATGGTGCGCGACACAACCGAGTGCACGGCAAATCGACTGAGTGAACGACCCAACTTCTCGAACAGCCTGCTGCAGGTGCTGCTCCAGGGCGGCCTGGTGCTGCGCGCCGTCGAGGTGCTCATCTGTTGGCTGTGGACCAATTTGCGCATGGAGTGCCTGGACAAAGCGCACACCAAGCTGCGCATCATCGAGCACTTCCTGTGCATACAGCCGCTGCTCGAGTCGATGGCTGCGCTGGAGCAGCGCCAGCAACTGCTGCCCGCTGCGCCGATGGATGCGCAGACCAAGCACATGAGCGAAATGGTTGGCAAAATGCTAGCCTTGCAGCTGGAGCAGGTCAGCGTGGAGCCCATACGCAAGCAGCAACAGTACCATGTGTCCTCGCCGAAACGAGTAAGTAGAGATGGAGATGAAGTGAATATCAGCCTTCTCACTTCTGCCCTTCTCCTCCTCCATAGGAATTGCAGCCGCGCAGCACAAGCAAAAAGCTGCAGCCGTATGTCTCGCTGGACATGCAGCAATCCCATCCCGTTATGCGCTCCAGCGTGCAGCTGCAGTGCGTCTACTTTGTTGTGGGCTGTTTCTATGCCCGCTTGTACTTTCTGAATCGGGAGCTGGATGAGCTGGACGACTTCTATGCACTGACCAATAAGTGGCTGCAGCAGAATGCGGCGCGTGGCAACGAATTGGGGCACATGCTGCTCGTGCTGCACATGTATCAGGCCAACTATCTGCGTGCCAAGCGACGGCAGCAGCAGGCCATTGAGCTGACCGAAGCCGCACTGAAGCTGGCCGGCAGCGAGCAGCTGCAGTCGCGCGTGGACATCAACTATCGGTACAATCTGCTGCTGCAGTTGAGTGCAGCGCGGCTCGAGCTGCAGCCGGTGCCAAGGCCACAGAATCCTAGACGTGCTCTCACCTTCAACATATCGCCGGAGGAGAAGCCAAAGTCGTTGAGCAAACCCGAAGTCAAGGCTGGCAAGAAACCGGCCAAATTTACCATCTATACGGAGGAAGTGCATCCGTTTAGTGCCAGTGGCAGCAGCAGCTCCAGCGACATAGGCAGCAGTCCGGAACGGCAGTCTGGCAAGCGCTTGGACTTGAATGCCTGCCAGCTCATTGAGATTCTGGACCTGAGCGACAGTGAGACGGAGCCAGTGGCAAAGCTGAAGCCAACGAAATCTGTGCGCAGCACTCGAACGCGTGCCCAGGTGCAGGTGGAGGCGACCCTCAGACGCACAGCAACCGCCCCCGTCGCCACACGGCGCAATGTCACGCCGGAGGAGAAGACGCCCAGCACGCGTATGCGCACCAGACGCCAGCAGCAAACGACCGAGCAGCAGACACCAGCCGAGTCGCTGAGCAGCAGACGTCGCCAGAGGAACTGATTACGCTTAGATATACATAATCGTATGCTCTCGCCTAGTTAGCACAAATATTATTTATCAACTTTTATACATATATATATATATATTTTTCACTCAAAGATCGTCAGACTTGGCTGGGTTCGATTCGGGTCTTTTCAGTGGCATCAGCGAAGTTTTGCATACGTTATCGCTCCAAAGCCCGTGCTGCTGCACGCTCTGACCCTCGCCGCTCTGGTGATGATAGACGCCAATGCCGGACTTGCAGCCGTCAGCGAATTCACCCACATAGCGATTCCCATTGGCTGTGAACAAATGGGGGAACAAAATGAGAAACGGCACGTGTGAGCAGGAAGCGTGGAGAGCAGTTATGGGTTAAGCATGTTTCTCTTCCTCTTCTTGGCTCTTGCCATTTATCAAGTGAATCTGTGCCCCAGGAATACTTGATAAACCTCTTCTGTTTACGTTTAACTCATCTGAAAGTCGCTTAATGTTTGGCTCGATTCGCTTATCTTGAGCTTGCTTCTCTAATTTGCAAATTTTAAAGCGGAAGCAAATGACGTTAACTCTATTTCTAGAAGTAGATTTACGACATTATCAATGTTTATAGCATAGAAGAATTGTGTTTGGAGGAATAGATGAAGACTTCTTCGTTTTGAAATTTTGCTTCTCTCTTAATACTTTGTATTGTATTGTATCTCATCTCACTTTAAACATCTCTATTGCTTTACTTTGCTCTCTGACATGGGCTCCTCCTCTCTCTCATGTTCCCTCCTAACTACAATTCTCCCTTTGATCTTCTCTATTGCCTTACTCCATTTTCTGTAACTTTAAAGGACAGCAGACACTCTCACCAGTTCGTATCTCCTTCTCTATTGCTTTTCTTCGCTTACTCCACTTTCTTCTCTTCTCTGCCTCCCATTGTCCGTCCTGCTTCTCGCCTCCGACTCACCCGCATAGAGCACACCACGGCCGTGCATCACATCCTTAAGCCACTCGCCCACATAGATGCGTCCGTCTGCATGCCACAGTATGCCACGCCCACTTCGCTGGTTGCCCAGCCACTGGCCGTAGTACACAGAGCCGTCCTCATAATACTGCTTGCCCTCGCCGCAGCGCACATTCGCCGCCCACTGACCCACATAGAGGCGTTGGGCGAGCCCGTTCGGGAACAGACGTCGCAGCGTGCCATGGCCATGTCGCTGACCGTGCATCCAGTGGCCCTCATAGATGAGGCCACGCCCGCTGGCCTTGACGCCGTAGCCATGATGCTGGCCATCCAGCCACATGCCCCGGTAGTAGCCGCCGCCGGTGGTGTAGCGCAGGCATCTGAACACCGTGTGGCTGCCGCTTGCACGGCTCGACATGTTGCTGGCAACTGTCGAACGGGAGTTGGTTGTTGCTTCGAATTGTCATCTGTGGCGGTGCCAGTCGCCAGCGGGCGATGTCACGATGGGTGGTGCTGGTGCTGGTGCCGTTGCCGGTGCGTTGCCTTGTGTGGTGCGCCCTATTCTAATCAAGCTGCTAACATGTCTTGTAGCCTGCCACAATAGATTAGCTGGAATGGAGGCCAATGGCTGACACGCAAACTTAACCGAGCTGGAACGCCAACAAGGGCCAAGACGCCAAACCGGGGCTAACACAAAATGTTTTTAGTTGGGGTTTTGGGGTATTTTTTTTTTGTTTCTTTCTCTCTATTGTCTAGTAAAGTAAGAGCTTTAATTAAGTATATGTTATATGTATGTATGTATGTATAAATTACAGCGAACTAACGTTAAGACATGCGCCTGATAATGGAGGCTTATACCATATAGACTACACATATGTATATAGACTGCAAGCACTTCGGTCGTACATATACTCTATATATATATCGTACTGTATAGTTATGTGTGTATATATATATATAAAAAATAAAATAAAAATTAGAGTAAAATAATATATTGCTTATGCGTATCACAATTTGCATTCGCTACAAATCCACAATTCTGAATATTTTGCATATAGTCTAAGGTTTTACGATTGGGCCCGATTAACGGACTAATAATATATATATGTCTATATGTATCTAAGCATGTATGTCTTTTACAAAAGTTTTCCTCCATGTGGTCCGACTATACAATGTCGCCAGAGGCGCCATAGTTGAAGCCATTGTTGCGCGCATTGTTGTGCACCTCGAGATGCTCCTGCTCCATTTGCTCCTTGAGCAGCTCCAGCTCCCGTATGCCAGAGACGGTCACCTCGTACTTGTGCGTCACCAGCGAGCGGTAAAAGTGAACGGCAAAGGCCAGGAAGACAATCATCACGGGTATCAGCACCACCACGGCCGACCAGGCAGCCGTGGTGCTCAGATCATAGAACTTCACCCAGCAGAGTATCGCGATCTCGACGAGAAACAATATCAGGCCGAGCAGCGTGGAGAATGCCCAGGCCGTCTCGATGTACCAATGGAGGCGCTCGTGCGGCGACTCGTGCACCAATGTGATGCTGTGCAGATTACAAACGGTCTCAATGTTGGGCAGGATGCAGGTGCTGATCATCAGGGCCAGCATGTGGACGGCCACCAGCAGCGTGGTGCAGATGGCAAAGGCCACCAGCATGCCAGGCGGTACGCCTGTATCCTTGTCCAGCTGCACCTCCACCATGGCCACCTGCAAAGAGAAAGTAACAGAGAGAGAGAGAGAGAGAATTAGCCAGAGAACTGATAGAGAGAGAGAGAGAGAGAGAGAGAGGTGTGCTGGTAGACTACCTGCTGGGCTCGCTTTATTGTGCTTATTATTTATATTATTAGCCAACTCATGTTGTTCACATTTTGGCAGCAGAATGTCTTGGCTGTATATTATGTATAATATATATATATTTATATATTCATGCACATACACATATATTACACATATTCAATATGCTACATATGCGGCCAATTTATGTGATTATCCTCGTCTGTCGGCCCTCTATTTGTCTTTGGTATGCGAGCGCATTTACTAATTAGTTAAGCAGTATGCGACTACAAAATACCCTATAAGAGCTTTTTAGAGGTATTTATTTATACACTATTGTTTTTATTTATTATTTACTATTTTATTTATTTTGTTATTATTTTATTTATATGAAATATATATACATAAATATAGTATATACATACATATTTCCAGAGGTTTATATTTTATTTCCGTGCTCAAACCTACCTCGTATATCTAATGCCTAGATAGCACATTATATTGCAAAGCATAAACTCATAAGAAATAGCCCCAACTGAGCTATTAATATATTCTGCTGATAAGTATAAAAAGCCTATGTAAATATGTAAGAAATATTTGCTAATTATTCATATTACATAAAAAAAAAATAATACATTTATTTATATAAATTTGTACAATATATAATATAATGTTCATTGATCAGTTTCAAGTCATTCATAGATTTACATGGCAACTTTTTAAGTCAAAATAATTTATGTATATTTTTTTTTGGGCACATAAATATATTTAAATATAGATAAGGAAAATATATGCAAATTTGATGAGTTTTTTAAACTCTCTTTGATGAGACCCTCATAAATCAGAGAGGTAAGCAAAAAATACAAAGCTTAGCTGTTCCGAATATTTAAAATATACCTATATATAGAATACAACTGACAAGTAGCTCTGTTAGTTAAGCCATTATACCCATTTCCTTGATTTATTCGGCTATAGGGCATACGCTAGGGCAATTGCGACGTTCTTCTAGTAATTAATTAAAGAAGCCAACTAATTTTGATATTTATTAAACACGACGAATTAAAATTAGATAATAAAGTACGTTGAAAGCAAATGGAACTAGTTCAATAGAACAGAGAGAGAGAGAGAGAGAACTTACCATAGCAAAGCCTGATAATAGTGCAGACGTTTTACTGCTTGCCTTCAGCTTGGCCCGGCTCAGCTGGAGCTTGCGCCACGAGAGATAGGTGGGTGAGTGCAGATCCTCGCCAGACTGCGACATGCTGCTGCGGGTGATGCGTCGAGGCTGAAATCGAGAGAATTTATGCTGTTGATATGTGCGCAACTGATATGGATATGCACTGGACGAGGACTGTACTATGGAAGCTGCTGGCCCTGCACCTGCCAATGGCAATGGAAACGGCGGCGGCGGTGGCGGCGGCGGCTGGGATGTTAGATGCGCGTTGAAGCGGCGCGAGCTCGCGTGCGGCGAATTCGCTGAATGCAAATTGCTCAAGTTGAAAAAGCGCGCCGAACCAGTGTAGCTACTCGGTCCCGAGTGGCCGGTACGACTGAAATTGTTGCTGTTCTGTGTCTGCTGCTGCTGCTGCTGCTGTGCCTGCCGTTGCGGTCGACACGAGTCGCACATGCTGCTATAGTCGCTGCCATGACAGTGGCTGCCAGTGCAATGCGTCGCTGACGCAGTCGCTGCCGCTGTATAGGCATCCACACTCGCTGCCAGCCGAGCTGTCGCATGCAATGCACTAGCCAGAGCAAAGCGTTTCGTCTCGATCCGATTCGCCGCACAGGGCAGAAGGCGAGCAGAGTGCAACGGTTGCCTGCCATCCTCTCTATCCGAGTCCCGGGTTAACGGTGTGTCCAATGTCTCGCTGCTCTCTGTGCGCTCCGTCGAAGTGGGCGCGCTGCCATCGAACGAGCTCTGCTGGTGATTGAGCAGCAGGCTGCTATGGCTGAGATTTGTGCGGGCATAGCGTAGGTTAGAGTACATGCTCTTCGGATTGAGAGGTAACAGATTTTCGCTCTCTGCGCGCTGAACCGGATCACGCGTACGCTTCTTGCACTCGCTCTCTTTATCCTGTTGCTGCTGTTGCTGTTGCTGCTGTTGGTCGTTTTGCTCGAGCAGCGGCAGTTCAAGCTGAAGCTTTTGGCGTCGCGGCGGCTTAAGCGGCACTTCGTCGCAAGTGGAACGCATGTGCACTTAGTTCTCTCTTCCTCTGTCTCTCTGCATACACGCACACACACACACACACAAACACACACGTATATGTGTTTTAAATGAATATTTATGTTGACTTGTAAAATTTGTTTAAACTTTTGCTTTTTGCCAAATGTATTTTAACAACAAAAATCACTTCAGAGCAGCATAAGAGTGAGCGAGCGAAGCACTAATAAAAGAGAGAGTGCGGGCGAGAGCTTTGACTGGAAGTTATAAAATTCCTTTCGAAAGAAAACTTTCGCTCTTTAACGCCTCAACACTTCGAGCTGCTCTCAGACAATGTCTGGCAGTTCGTTTCAGTTGGTTGCCGATGCTGACTATTGATGACGATGCTGATAGCGTTTTAGTGTTGTTGTTGATTAATTATGGTGTTCAGTGCACATGAGAATTGATCAGTACACACACACACACACACTCTCACTCACACAATTACACATAAGTGAGCTATTTTTTTGTTTTCTACTTGGTTTAATTGTCAGTTTGTTGGCAAATTTTGTAGTTGCTTTTTGGTTGTTTTTCTTTTTTTTTTTGTGCGCGTTGCGTTGCGTTCCGCTTGCCGTCTTTCTCTTTTTTAGAGGTTTGCGTGCGTGTGTGTGTGTGTTATTTAAATATTGACTTTTTATTTATAAACATTTTATAGCATATAAAATTGCAAAATACATGTGTCAATAAAACACAATTTGGCACGTACGTATTTTTATTATTTGCGAGAACACTCAAAACGTATCAAAATATATTTGATCGCAAAAACCGATAACCGTTTCCGTTCGCCAACGATGCTTTAATGGAGACACGCTTTACCGTTTAACCGTTTTCGACTTCACTCTACAAATGAGTATGTGTTGGTGTTTTTGCATGTGCATGTGCATGTGCATGTGCATGTGGTTCTTGTATATCTTTAGCTCGTATAGCATTAATCACGGCGACAAGTTCACGGCGAACTGCTGCACGATAATGAATTGAATAGTAATTTGGCTCTACTCTTCGACGCATTTAATTCATTTCTTTTTGCATTTCGCTGTGTCTTCCTTTTCCCCTTCAGCCGCCGTAACGTCTTTTAGTCTTAATGCGTCTCTCTCTCTCTCTTACTCAGACTCTCACTCTCTTGTATGTTTCTTTGGTTGTCATGCGAACCGGTTGGTGAATGAATGAGTGTGGGTGGCTGGGTGGTTGGGTGGTGTGTTGGTTGCTTGATCGGTTGATGCGAACGCGCGAGAACGTCTCGTCTAGTTAACAACTAACTGATACGGCGACGAAGGCGGTGCCGTTGATGCGGCGACGTTGGCGTTGGTTGCTGAACTGTCGACGGCGGCGCGCGTGATATTCAAATTCGACAATCAATTCGGCGGCGACAGCGACGACGACGACGACGACGACGGTTGCGGCCTGCGACGACAAAAACAACAACAATATAACAATAGACAATCGAATTACAAATGCCATTTGAATTAAAACCGAACAGAAGGAAACTAAAACGTTGACAGCGGGTGCCTGTATAGGTGTTTGTGTGTGTGTGTGTGTGTGGGTGTGTGTGGGTGTGTGTGTAAAGAAAACGGAAAACAGGCAAAACAAATTGATAGCAATGAAAGGTGCAAAAGAGACAGCACATAATAAAGGTGCTCTCTCCCACTGTTGGCAATCAATCAGCACATTTTTCCTACCTGTAGCGCATCCGTTGATCATCAATGGGGAAATCAAATGATGAGCATTTTGGTGGCGCGAATTGACCCTGAACTGTGCAGTGATTGGGCAATTGATTGGCCACTGATTCAATTATAAATTCGACACTGCCCGCTCAGCTGACCCAGCAATAAAGCGA